GGGCGCGCGTGCGAAGAACGGTGCCGCGCCGACCTTGGCAAAAGTTGTCGGCGGTGCGCAGGGTGCGCCAGCTCGTGTGCGTGGCAATCGTCGCTGTAGAGAAAGGGCGTCAGCTCGAGGCGGACGTCAAAGTCGACGTGCGTCTGGCGCTCCGTCTTGTCGCCACGGCGGACGGTCTCGGTGTGGGTGCCGCGCAGGCGTACAAAGGCACGGGGCGGGATGGCGGCGCAGGCCTCGATGTGGCGCTGGAGGAACGAGGGGTCGGCGTCGAGGCGGCGGTCGATGTGGTACTCGTTGCCCGTGTCGGGCACGACGAGATGGGGCGGCACGAGGCCGTGCTGCTTGCTGTGGAGGTCTTGGATCTGCAGCAGAGGATCGCGGACGCCGTCGGCCGAGGGGTCGTCGGTGTACAGAGGCGGCAGGTCGTCCTCGTCGCCGCCACGCCCAGGCAGCAGCTCAGCGGGGTCGTCGTCGTAGAACCGGCCAGGTGCGTTGGCGTTGGCGTTGGCGTTGGCGCTGTGGAGGGAGTAGGCGTCGGAGGACTCGCCGAGGCGGAGAGGCGGCGTCAAAAAGGCATCGGGCTTCTTGACATCGCCCGCAGAGGCAGACGACGCAGCGGCAGACGACGCAGTGGCGGTTGGGGCCATCTTGGGGCTCGAGGGAGCATGGGGGCTGAAGGCGCCTGGCATGCTCATGGTGACGGGCGTTGGGTGTGATGTCCGAGATGGCGGAGGATGATGGAGAAGAGCAATCGCTCGTGAGGGTCGGAGGAGGATGTCGTGCCTGATGGAATATAGGACAGAATGGATGCCCTTCTCTCCGAGGCAGGGCAGAGGAAGAGAACAGCCTGCAGCCTCAGCAAGGTTGACAGGCAGAAGTCTGAGGATGCAGTGGCGTGGCCGCTGGCGTGTTCTGTACTTCCGTACCTAAGGTACCTTCCTTTCCTGCTACCTAGGTACAAGGTACATGTACTTGTGCCTCTTCATGCGCCTTCCGCTGTCTTCCCGTCGTTGGTCGTGCCTGCTTCCGCCAGGCCTCGACCCAGACGCCAGAGGCAAGAAAGACCCTGAACCCCACTTCGGGGGCTGACCCGAGCCCACTCCACGCAAGCCAATCAATCATCTGCCCGAACCCGAGCCCCTCCACTGAGACGGGCTTGACGGGCTTGACGGGCTACGGGAACATGAACGACCTCAGACGAGCCTGACCCTTATACGACCTGCTTGCAGACGCTCCTGCTGCCTTGGCCGGTCTACCTGTCACGCACGCACCACCGAGCTTGCCAACATGGTCATATACTAGTCATTCTTCGTCCATTCCTTTCTTTGTCGGTTCGCGTGCCTTTCTCTGTACCTTGTACCTGAGTACCTGCCAGCCCCTTCTCGGCCAGCCCCTTCTCGGCCAGCCCCTGCGCAGCCAGCCTTCTCACACGTGCTTCGCCCGGTGCAGCTCGCTCTCCTCCCGCAGCTGCTTCAACTGAGGCTGAAAGTCCTTGTTGACCCACTCCCAGTATGCGTCCCACGTCGCGCTCGAACCCGTGCCCGACGCACCCTGGCCTCCTGCTGGTGTTGTCGCCGTCGCCGTCGCCGTCGCCGTCGCCGTCGACACGCCCCCACCCGTCGCCCGCGTGATCCGGTCCGCGAGCAGCAGCGTCACCCGGAGCACGCTGCGGTTGGCCTCTTGCTGCTTCTCCACCTCCTGCTTGACCGACCCCTCCTTGAGCTTCGTCGCGAGCACCCCGCGGTACGCCTCGGCCAGCGCGTCGAGCCGCCGCGTCGTCTCCTCGGGGTCCATGACCACGAGCTTCGTCACCATGAGGTTGCACAGCGCCCGAATGTCATTGTCATCCTTGAGCCCCGCAACGATCCGGTCGTAGAGGTCGAGCTTGTTGATCCGTCCGTACGCAGTCTCCATAAGAGCGTACAGCATCTCGTACGCGCTCTTGCGCACCTCGATCCCGTCGTCCACGTAGTGCTTGAACGGTCCCATCTGCACCTCGCGGATCAGCTCCGGCTTGACCTTGGACTCGACCAGCACAAACGGCATCAGCTGCCCCAGGTGCGGCAGGATGAGATCCGGCTTGTTGTGCGCCGCCGAGTTGAGCGTCGACATGGCCAGCCGCCGGTTGTCCATCTTGGCGTCGTCCAGCATCGTCAGCAGCATCTCCAGGAGCACGTCCCGGAACATGGCGTCCAGCGCGTCGTCGCTGTCGGGCAGCGTGTACCGCACTGCCTGCACCGCCATGCCGCGGACACCCGACGACCTGTCCTTGAGGAGCGACTGCGTCACGTTAGCCAACTGTTGACATCCATCTGCTTTTTGATTTCGCCATGTACTCACCTGCAGCGCCGGCATGTACGTCTTGGGGTCGACAATGACCAGCCTGCCCACGCACTCGGCGCACACGACCGTGTTCTCCGGGTTGGCTGAGGCCGCCAAGAGCTGCTGCCAGATGGGCTCGGCGTACTGTCGAATGTCCACCGACTGCGCCGTGATCAGGTGGAGAATCTCCTTGATCGACTGGATCAGCAGATACTGCGTGTTGCCGCCCTTCTTCATCGTCTCCAGGATCACCGGCAGGTACTGTGCGACATGGCCCGAGCCCGCGCGACCGAGAGCCACGGCAGCGGCCATCGACACGTTGTCGGGCTCGCCATGGAACTGCTTCAGGAACAGGTCTGGCTGCAGAGGCGACTTGGCCCCGAGTCGCAGGCCTGCCTCGCCCAGCACGGCCAGCGCGAGGCTGACGCGCGCGTCGTCCTTGGTCTGCGAGCTGGTCTGGAGCTCCGAGATGAAGCTGTCGAGCGTCACCCCTGTCGATTTGCCACTAGCCACGAGCAGGGTGCCGATGACCTTGCCAACCACGACGGGGTCGCCCTCGATACTAACCGTTTGCAATAGACCGTTCATCAGTGGCTGTCCGGTACCGCTCTCGCCGACCTTGTTCACGAGGGTCAGGAGCTGGTCCAGCGCAATGCTCGCGTACGCAGACTTGAGCAGTTCGCAGAGCGTGTTCGTCATTTCCGGTGTCATCACCAACGCTGCATTCTCCTCGACCAGCTGCGCCAGCACAAGAAGGGCCGGTGCTAGGAGGTGGGTATCGTTGTTGCTGACAACGGAGCCGAGCGAAGAGACCAGACCCTTGATCGTCTCGGGCTCCAGTTGGCCCTTGCTCGTGGGAGACGAAACGAGATGCTTCAGACCCTGAATACTAGAAGTGCGTAGGGCTCGGTTGGACTTTCGGAGCTGTGCCGCGAGTTCCAGCGCAACGTCTTGAATCCATGACTTCTCGAGCTGACCAGGGCTCGTTGTGTAGGAAGCGATGGTGTCGATGGCGCGAACGCTTGCGAGCCTCGTCGTCTCGCTCTTGACCCTGTCAGCCAGCACGTCCATTGCCGACCGTCGCTTCTCGGCCGGAACCAGGCTTGAGCCCTCTGAGCCGATGGTGCGCGCCAGAAGCACACCAAGCGCTTGAATAGCCCGCTGGCGGACTTCCGTGTCGACTCCGGCCTGTGTAATGCGATTGAAAATAATATCATACAGGCTCTGAAGCTCCGACTTGAACTTTTGCGCATTGACTCCAGAACGTGGAGGGGTGATGTTCCTCACGATTTCTTCCACAGTCCTCATGGCCTCGCACGAAATCTTGTAGAAGCGGTCGTTGACAGCGGCAACAACAGCGGCAACGAGCTGAGGCAGGTATGGCTGCAGAACGCTAGAAGAATGCGTCTTGGCGATATCGCTGACGAGCCGAAGGGAAGCAACGCGGAGAGTGCCGGGCGTGGCGGATGCGCTGCCTCCAGCTGCTGCCAGGGAAGATGAGAAACCGGCAGAACCAGTGGACTTGACCGCTTCAATGGTAGGCACCATGATGTCAACAAAGTAATCAGAAAGACCTCCACGCTGCACCTTGACAATGTCGTCAAACAGGCTGAAAATGGCCTGCTTGGTCGAAATGACCTTGCCCTTGAGAAGCTTGTTTGATGCCTTCACAATACTGGGAGTGAGGCGAACGAGGTCGGCACGAGGTCCAGTGGCAGGGGCCTTTTCGAGCACCGGAGACGCAGCGCCGGGTTCGGCCACACTGCTCTGGCGTCTCCGTTTCCTGTTGATAGGGGCTTGGCTAGGGGCTTCGTCATCGGGGTTGTCGAGGTTCCAGGCAGAACCTGGGTAGAGATCTTCACCCGTCTTGCGCACGAGGAGGGCCAGACAGCTAATGATCTCGAGGCGCACATTTTCCTCGCGCTCCTCAAATCTCTTGACCAAGACGTTTCCGGCTCTTTGGTATAGGACCCCCTTCTCGAGAAGCTCTCCGCTGCCTCGGGTGGAGATGAAGGTGTACAGAGCCTTTGCTGCGCACCGACGAACCTTCCAGCTGGCGTCATCGTCGTCGTCAAACTCGCCTCCCATGTCAAAGTCTTCCTCGTCTTCAAAGTCATCTTCCTCATCAACATCCATCTCTTCGTCATCATCATCCACAGCCGAGTTAGGGTCATATCGGAGGAAGCGAAGAGTGGCGGTTATCGTTTCATTCGTAAATGCCTCCATTTGGGCCGGGCATGAGGCAAGGAAGGCTTCCAAGGCGGTCAGCGCAGCCTCTCGAACATCATTGAAGTCTTGGCCCAGGTCGTCGCCATCGCTGATGGCCTCGAGGTGCTCGGCGAGCTCCTCCTCGCCTAGAGCCTTGAACAGGAACGGTGCGAGGGTTTTCAAGTATGGTCCAAAGCGGTGGGGGGTCGACCGAGCGACCGAGCCGCTGATGGTGATGTACAACCGGCGGGTGACGGCGGAGATGTCGGGCTTCGCTAGAACAGCGGCCATCCTAGAGACCATCTGCTCGAGAAGCTGCTCCGACAAATGTGAGGCGAGGATGGACACAGCCACCACGGCCCTCTTCTTGACCACGGATGAGCCGCGGTCGTGCTCGAGAATGCTGATGACTGTGTCCTGCATGGCGTCGATTTCGGTGGGCAGGAGCATTGGACCGAACGATCTCACAATCTCAATGAGCACATCTACCGACTCAGCATTCAGGTCCGCGTCGCTCTGCAGAAGGCCTTCCGGCATGTTCGGGAGAGGAACCTTGGACTGTGAGGGCTGAAGCTTGCCGGGACCGACCATGCGGGGTATCAGCACGCGGCTGACGGCTGTGTATGCTTCCTGGACATCTCGTGTGACAGGCACGCCGGGTGTTGGGCGAGGTAGCGACATGATGGCGGCCCGTAGGGCCAGCGACGGAACCGCATTGTCGACAGAGTTTCTAAGCTTTATCGACGAGAGCTTCTCGAGCATGGGGGCGATAATGTTGGAGGGCACTCTGGTAACGAGCGGGCCGAGACTGGACACTTGTGATTAGCCAGAAGTCCCACCATGAATGAGGGGGAAGGAATGGGCAGTTCTCACGATTTGATCGCCAGGTTCTGGACCTCGCCGTTCTGGTCATCGAGAGTCCTGATGATGCTGTCGACGGTGCGGGCAGCAACATTGTAGTCATGGTGGAGAAAGTCGGGTTTTCCCTTCTCGAAAAGAGCAATCAGATCGTTCAGGGCCATGAAGCGATAGTCGGGGTCTGATTCCGACAGCTTCGTGACCAGCGACATGACCGCCTGGGGCGTCGCGTTCACCGTGGTCGTCATGGCGGCGAAGGCGGGGTGAGGCGGAACCACGGTGGGGAGGGGATCGGGTTCGCAGGGTCAAAGCGAGGGCTCTTCGTCTGTCGATAGGACCATGCGGAGGATGAGCTTGCTGATACTGGCTAATCGAGTGTAATTACTGAAGGGTCGTGGAGCAGGATATTTCGAGCTTTCGGCTTGCTGGGAGGGAGGAACCGTAGGCGGCGTTCGTCAGGTCGATTCGAGGCCTATCGTTGGTTGGTGGGGTCAAGTCAGAGCTCCAGGCAGGTATACTGGGCCGCATCGGCGTGCGGCGGAAGGAGCTGGAACCAGCCTATAGGCAGGTGCAGTGAGCAGGTGGGGCGGAAGGGGCACCAGGAGACCCCGCCTTGCCTGCCTCTGACGTTCACAGCCTCGACCTGGTTTGAGTGTCCTACTCCTGCTTTACCTGCCTAAGGTACCCAGGTACCTGGGTAAGTAAGCAGTAGAGCGTGTTGATTTCAATGCTCTCATAGGTACGCGAACATGATGAGCCGGTAGCCTCTGGCAGCTCTGTACCAAAACTGGGCTGACAACAACGTGTTGCGTCGTAATTGAACAAAGGGATTCTATTCTCTTTCCGGAGCACATGCCAGCTTGGCGGTTGTGTGCCATCCAACATGGCTTTCGAAAGTGAACACCAAGGTGATTGCCGGTTCTCACCATCTGGGCATCACTCCTTCTCTAATGAGGACACCTGTTGCACATTCCACCCCGGCCTAGTAACACTTGCCTTCATCAGAGGATCACACAATGAGCGAGGTGATCCTGTACAGCATCTGCAGTACTTGAATGTAAGGTATGGTATCTTGGTTCGTCAGATATACCGTTGTTCCCAGCAATATGCTTCCCCACCGATACCCATGATATTAGGTAGGATGAAAAGCAGCGTCCGTATGAGTGAAAACGACGCAGTCAGCCATCTGTATGATTTCTACATGGCTTCCGACCCAAACAGAGCCTATCCGGACCTCGAGCGAGGCAGCTCGCGCCACTACAGCCGGGAAAAAGCCAAGCCAACCTCCTCGACGAGGCGCAAAACAACCCACAGCTACCGTGAGTCCGAAACTCTCCTGCCTGCGATCAACAGCATTCTCATGGGTGTTCCAGTCTGCTTCTGCATCCCCGTCCACGTTGACGCACGGGTCCAGAAGTACGCCCACCGCCGCGGCCTCTGGGCCTTCCTCTGCTGGCTCTTCTGGATCTGCCTCAGCGCCTTCGCGTGCCGGCCCCCGTCGAGCTGCTGCGCGGATCCCCCCTCTGCGCCGGTTCGCGTCCGTTCACGATCGGGAAGCACGCTGTCGCCCGTGGCCTTTCCGTCGATGAGTAGTACGATGCCGCCGCGGTCGGCCAGGTCGGTGCGGTCGTCGGGCTCACGGTCGTCGGAGATAGGCAGCCCCCTGTCGACGAAGCTGTCTTCGATCCCCGAACGCCACGAGAGTCCCGCCCATGTCGTGAGGAAACCGCCCGCTGCCGAACTCGGGGTGGAACGCCCGGCTGTTGTCGTCGCGCCTGCTGTCGTCTCCCCCGAGGCACACCATGCGCCGGACCCCGGGGTGGTGAAGCGACTGGAGAAGGGACAGGTGCACGATATTGAAGACGACCGCATCTCCGTCACATGAATAATTGCATTGCGGAGAAGCGTTGCAAGGGCTTTTCGGAGGGGTCGGTGCTGCTGGAGGGGGAAAGTATGAAGCTATCAACATTCTTAGATGCTAGACCTTTCTGTAATCGTCTAAAATGCATTGTTAGAACAGCCAAGCGTGGTGAAACATGATAAAGGGCCATGAACTATTGGATTCCAGTCTTTGCACGGATAACGACTTGATGACAGCTGTGTTCGGTTTTCTAGTAATAGCGGAAGGGGGTTTGAGGGTATCCATATGAACTCTACCTTTCAACGTGTGCCAGCCACTCTTCTCAGGTATATTAGATGTGGATTATGGCGTGACCCCAATCGCAGTTCTTTTTCTCATCCAGGGGCGAGTCACATGAGAAAGGCGTAAAAGTTGACTATGATGTCTACATTCAGAAATGACACCGATCGATCCCCATTGCTTACTGCTGTTCGTCCCTTAGTGGCGTCGCATGGCAGATTTTCAGGCGATCATAAAACAACGGTCGGTCAATCATGTCGCAATGCGCAGCAAAAATGCCAAGCGTCGTCAACTGTGATGAACACCCCTAGCTGAGCTCAGGCCCTGCTCCCAGCGAAGAAGCTTCCAGAGCAGCAACTCTCCAACTAGTCTTCAGAGCACCTCGCGCATCTCGCTGCAAAACACAGTTCAACAACCCGACAGCACAAGGCATCAGCAAGATTTCGTTTCCCTCGCCCATCAGCAGGAGCTGGCCGTCCGAGAAAAAAAATATACACAGGCGGTTTTCCTGTCCGCCAGCAACAAAAGACGAACCGACGGAAAAAAAGAAGTGTCCGTCCGAACGAGAATTCCTCCTCTGTTTTCCTGCTTCCTCTTCTTCTCCATGGAGCGTATCCTTTCCATGCTTTATTCGCCCTCCTGCCTCAATGCATGCTGCCTGTCGCCCTTTCCTGCCCAGCCTTTCCCTCCATTCCCTTCCCTGCCGATGATTGCAAATATGTGGCCTCTGGGGCTTGGTGGATTGCGACTTAAACACTACAAGCTCCGTATTCTGGGGGCGCGCGGCGATTTGTGAACAAAGGAAATGGTGCAGGGTGGATGAGCCCCCAGTGGTTGTAATGGTTGTGGTTGTTGATTCTGGTAAACGCTGTTCGGTCCGGCCGTTGTATGCCTTGGTAGAGTACCTGCAGTTGCCGTTGAACGCGGGTGAAGACATGCCAAAACCGGGTGGCGGAGCCCGGCAGCGATGATTCTTCGTAAAACGCCGTGGTTGGCGGGCGTGGTCATGATCCATGTGCATGCGATTTGGAGGCAGGCATCGGCGGGTTGTTGCTAGCGGCGTAGCTGGCTGATCGCGGGAAGTCGGCAGCTCCCGTTGGCGATCAGCAGCTTTGGTAGAGTAGGAGGGGTTCGCCGACGTTCTCGATCTCAGGGATCGTGCACTTGAGATCGAAGGCTTTGGACAGGACAATTTTGAAGATCTAGAATGGAGGGGTTAGCGTCACGGCTAGCGAAGGTAGAGGGCTCGCGGTAGGCGGCAGGACGCACCTTTTGCACGTTGATGCTGTGGCTTGTGCTGCTGAAGATGAGGGCGGCGCGCATTGCCTTGGCAAAGCGACGAGCCTGGGG